TACTTGGCCTTCACTCTCTCCCTAAATATATATATATAGCTGTTGAGTATACATTAAAAGGGATACAAAGGGTCGTTGCAGCTAATAGCCTTATATCACATCTCCTTGATGTGACCTTAATGCAAAGTGGCAGCCGTGAACCGATTATTTTTATCTGTCTAAAGAGGCGTCAGGATGTCACAAACAAATTGCGCTAATCGATCCGCCGCAAGGGACACCTGGTCATTTCAACTGGTTTCTAACGGTTGGGTGGTTAACACTATTCTTTCTCCACTTATATTCACATGATCGAATCCACTGTGCTGGAAACAAGTAATATTCTGGCAAGTTTTGAGTGAGTACAGTACAGCACGATATTAAAAACTTTTACTTGTTAGCGGTGTTCATTTTGAACACCGAGAAGTTAGTGTGATAAAACATCCAGTAGACTAGCGTGTTTTTGTTCAAAATATCGTCTCACTGGTCCGCTCCATTTCACTTTCAATTAGATTGTCTACCGTTGATTTTCCGGGAAACAAGAGTTGACTTATTAAACTCCAACTTTTGCCCAACCTTTGTCATCTTCTTTCATTGCAGACACCAGCTGTTTTCACACCCCAAACTCTATTATGCTGGAAACATTCATAACTGCACTTTACGAGAATCTGTTGGATTACATTTGTGGAAAGCATATCGATCAAGTTCACAAGCCCAGTCCACACAAACGAACTGTTTGCCTCGTTGATTGAAAATGGGTTGTTAGCTGCTTTGTCATAGGCACAACCAACATCACAGGAACTAGACCAATATATCCAAATATATCCAAATATAGCCAAATTCCTCGGAGTTGAGGACAGTTCGGTCAGTCAGCTTGGTTATTTGGGATGTAAATAGAACGCCGTGAAAAAACTGTTTTATATCTGAGACAAGTTTGTGATTAACAGCCTTTGTTCTTTGTCAACTAAAGTTTTATACAATTAAACTGAACTGTTCATTTCAGACCTTTTTATTCAACTAGGTTAGAACGTGAGTGGCGAAGGAAGTCCATTCAGATAATTCACTGCTTAAGGGTACAGTTAGGAAACCGTAACAGAGGTTGATTGGCCATCTGAGGCTCAGTACCAATGAATGTACCGACAGTCATCAACAGTCAAATGTGGTATGTTGTTGTCGCAAACATCAGCGAAAGTCGATTCTGATTGGACAGTGGCATAACAATACTGGTTAAGCATTGCGTCATTTAATTGATACAGTAATCTATACTACGATTACCAAGGAATCAGCCCACCAGCTGAAAGTATTCGGGGTTTGTGTAGAAAATCTTTCTCTACCTGTCCTGTGATCAAAGTAAACGTGAGGGTTCGATGAGGTTCCACCATTGTAACTGCTCTCGGTGTCCTACGATATGTCCAGTCGGGTGGTAACCCAACATTTTTACATACTTCGCCCATGGAAGCACAGAGGTTAACCTAAGCCAATATCAACTCAAGAGATTAACCAAAGTGAAGCGGATACAACCCGACTCATCATAACTTGATAAGTTCAGTTGAGTACATTAAGGTGGTTCTTGTAAAGAAGGTTGTTCTTATTTTGGGATCATTTTAGTCATAAGACTTAGTCTTGGAAATTTTGACCCTTGTCGTTAAGGTAAGTTTGATTAGTCTAATGAAATTTATTTAACCGCGAATAACGGATTTATCTGTTTGTTCTATGAACACTAAAAATTGGAAATGCTCAAAATTGCGAAGTAAACTAATGCACAATAGACGAATGTATTAAAAATTAACTGTTATAGGTACCAAACCATAAACGGAATATCGCGTCCGAGCAATCCGGGAAGTGGTTGTTATCGCGTGTTGAGCTACCCAGTCGAGAAAAACCAGAAAATAATTCTGGGCAGCATTAAGCAATTTCAGTTTATTGAAAAATAATACTCTTATTGCAAGGGAACAACATTAGTCAACGTAGCAGCTGGTCGACATTTTGGATTGGTTGACGCCGATCGATCGCGATCCGACTTACTAGAGTTTGTGTGTGAGTTCCGATCAGGTGAACCTACATCATTCAAAAAACTGATCCAGTCCAACCTCAGTATATCCTTTCCGTTTTGATAAGTTTGTCCACTTCTCGTTTTTGATGGCTTCTCATGGTTTGCATCCCGAGTCTCTGTTTCCGGTGAGATCCGTTTTGTCGAGCTCACGCAATTTCTCCCCCTCACCACCCCATCCACATCCCCGTCGTATGACCTATGCCAACGATCGTTTACCACCACACCACGTGTCCACTGTATTGTGTTCTCAGGGACACACTGGACCCAAACCTTATCTCCTGGTTTAAAGCTTGCAAATTTCCCTTTCCCGTTCTGCGTCGTTGTAGGCTGTTCTGAATATGTGGCTCGTCTAATATATAATAGAGTAACAGTTTAGATGCCATGGGAAATTTTATCCGCGTCCTACTTCCAAATATTTACTCCATCATACTGTGTCTAATGATCTCAATCGATATGTTTCCTCTTTTTATAACCGTTAGACGTTGGTTTTCCCGTGACTGTTAGACAATCTGTAGTAGTCTCTTGGTGGCCCTAACTGCAGCTTCGGCCTCCGAGTCTGACGGAATGTGGTACGAGCTGCTTGTTCGATGCTAAAACTTCCATTTATCTGCAGACGTCTGGAACTCCGCGCAAATAGACTAAGGACCATTATCAAGGATAAACACCTCCGGTACGCCATAGCAGGCAGAATGAGCATGCAGTATGCTGAGGGCTGTGCCTTCGTTGGTTATGCTTGGACAGCCAATTTCAAAATAGTCCGAGAAATAGTGCACCGTGTCTAGATACTGCTTCCCGCCGTGTGTGAACATATCGCACGCAACAATTCGCTAGAGTCTTCCCAGAAGTTTTCTCAGCAGCATCGTTTCCGTCACTTGATGTGAATCGTGACTTCTGCAAATTTCACAATTCGCTACTAATCTTTATCTTACTAGACATGCCTGGCCAAAAGTATAATTCCTTTGCTCTCCGAACACAGCTGCACACCCCAGTATGTGCCACGTGGAATTGTTCAATAAACTTTTGCTACAAATCCTTCTGGGTGACTGTCTTCTCACCTTTGAAGATCATTCCTTTTTCTTGGACAAAATGATCGCGGTTCGTGACAAATATTATCGATTCCTCGAGCGGACTGTCAGCTAATATTTATAACAAGTCAGCTTTTTAGGTACTTAGGGCTAACGAATTACCACCACCCAAAATGAATCAATAATGCAATGAAGCCCAAATTTTATCGGATCATGTGGTAATCGCCTGAAAATTCTGCCCAAATAAACGGCTTTATGTACACATTCTATTAGTGCAAATGGGTGAAGTCCGCCTTAACTTACCAGACGTTTTGGTTGTGGACAGAAGAGCATGAAATATCAATATTTATGTTTATAAATTCTCATACTAAAACCTACGCTCCATATTGGCTGTCTCGCTTCCTATATGGACTCGTTAGCCAAAGAGAAAGAGAGAGAGTGATACTCGATCCGGAGATGCTCGTATTACGAACGGATGGTTTCATCGACTACACCACCGGTTCCGCGACAAGATGGTTTAAGATTATTCGTGCCTGCGTTAAGACCAATAGCCGGCTGAGTTTCCTTACGTCACTTGGCAAACAGAATGACACTCATCGGTCATGTAAACTTTATCAGCCACAGGACAATATTTTTCCCGCTAATCAATAAGCGCCCTTGGTACCACGTATTCTATTTGCTCTCCACAATGTTATGAACAAGAATTGATGCGGCCGTCCTTGTCTAACGGTCTAATGCCCAGTCTAATGTTGTACTGTTGGCCTAACGAACCTAATTTTTGTTGGGCAAATTTCAGATAGATGATTAGTTGCCATTTTTTGCGTGAACTACTTGCGATACCGCACAAGGTTGTAGCACTGTTTATTGTCCATTTAATGAGATAACTGACTTGCTACTATTTCAAAGATCACGTACCTTTCTGCGCCCAATCTACGCGAATTTGCCACGACCAGCGTGCCTGCCGGACAACCTAGATCGTCCATGGAGGTGGTTGGTGCACATCCATGACCATACCTTTGAAAGTTATTCACGAAGCATGTAGTTAGAAGCACTTCATGTTATTAGCATGCAAATGAACGAATGTGTAGTGCGATTTGTTACGAAAGGTCCCGATTTGGAAGTGCAAGCTGCTAGTGGATTTCCAAATAAAGTTCCTGACGTACCTGCGATTACCCTGATAACCGGACCAGTCATTCAGGGTTATCGCGTTCCTTATGTGTCATACCCTTCATCAAACTGTTCTAAGCCATATTTCGGTGTATCAGGCGTTTTGAGTGTATGATCATGGGATGAGTCGCTATGCAGTTTGTGGTCATCATAAACAAACGTCCCACATCCTTGTGCATTTTCATCCAGTCATCCAGTTACAATCGATCATCCTTCTGATTTTTCGACTAATGCAGACAAGTGTTTTATGAGAAGTGTGAAAACTTGTCCACTGCTAACGTCAAATCTTTGGTTTCATTCAGTAACAATGTTGAGCCTCAACCATTTAATCTCATTCAACATACACACACTCTTCAAAGAGATCTTTACTCGCTGTCGATTCTCGTGTATTGGAAATTCTAATCCATTGCGCCTCAGCGACCAACCACACTGACCACAAGAATCGAGCACTTCTAAGTGGGGTGTTATGAAAGAAATGACTAGATTGTATTTTTTTCTGCTAAGTGCACATGAACATTTTTGACGCGGTATATATTAAAACGAAATAGCTGGTATGTCACAAGGTGTTATATTCCGTTTTATTTTTACTATATAACCACCAAACATTCTGTCTTCTGGAAATCTTCCTTGAATATTCGACCGAATCACACTACAGATTGATAGAAAGCTGATATGTCCTTTCGATGCAAATACACTTACAATGTCAGCTTACTAAAATACATCTAATGAGTAGTTTGAGAAAATTATGATTTTAGATGTGGCCCGATTGTAAAAAGTCAGGGCTCCGGCTGGATTCGAACCAGCGACATAAACACCATACCTCAACACGGTAAGCGCTCTATAAGCTGAGCTAGAGGGCCCTGACTTTTCACAATTGGGTCTCATCTAAAATCATAAATCTGCCAAACTTCTCACTTGTAATACAGTTTCTATGTCTAGCAGTGGTGTCGATGGATTCCGTCGCGAACTGTTCGAGAAGTCATGTCGGGCAGTCGATCCCCCGAATCATTTTGTGGATTCCATATGAGACAGCAGGACGGGTGGGTTACTGCGTCCAAATGTGAAATTTCCGAGCTCCTGGCCTGGTTTCGTAGCTAAGCTAGTAGAGCGCTTGCCGCGTTTGGGCATGGTGCTTCTGTCGCTGGTTCGAATCCAGCCGAATCCCTGAATTTTCACAATTGGGTCTCGTCTAAAGTATATCTGTCTGTAAAGCGTTCTCAATTGTTAAAGCTTGCTCCTCCTTGTTCTGTCGCTGGTTCGAATCCAGCCGAATCCCTGAATTTTCACAATTGGGTCTCGTCTAAAGTATATCTGTCTGTAAAGCGTCCTCAATTGTTAAAGCCTTCTCCTCCTTGTTAAATTTGTTTACTTGGTCTTTATGCAGTCAGCCTTACATAGGATACAGGTGTCTAAACGGTGAGGTCTGACCTACCAAACCCGATCATCCAGTACGCGTTTCACACACTGACATGGAGGCATATTCATTATCTAGCGGTGAAAATATGAACTGTGAAGGTAGACTACCCACTGCGTCAACTCTGAGACAACCGTTTTCTGTGGCTTACTGATCTTGTGGTAATCAGTTAGTTTTTTTTACTTACTTGGCGATTCCACACAGGAACACATGTTCTGTTGAATTTATTCAGTCGAATTTGTTGTTGCGTGTTGTCATTCGTTTATAATGCCACCAATTAAATGGGACCCAGATTTGTCTGAAGTCGCTAATTGATTATTCCACGATATATTTCTTAAATATATCATACGTTACTTGGCTCTTTTACAAAATTCCGTCTTACTAGTCACATGTACCGTTGATTTAAGCCAAGTTTTAACCATATACAGTTGTTGCGTGAAACCCTCGTTAGTCACCATTACGAGCGAAACATCGTTTACCGTGCTGTTGTTTATGAATTTTCAGGTATTAACTCGATTTTATCCGATAGCAGCGTACTTCTTTTTAAACAACTCCTACCAAGTTCGAGGAAAGAAATGGTATATACTCTGAGGTCGTTTTTACAGCGTTGCGTAAAAACCGAAAACTATTCACTCGTCTGCTTACTGCTCTGACTTGCTGAGTGCAGCAACTATGCGCCACTCAACTGAGAAACCAGAATTCGCTCCTGCTGATATAACAGCAGTCTGATTCAATTTCAAATTATACCCCCACTGCAAATTGGATGGGATTTCCAAAGGTATTGCTCAAATCAGACTGCTTCTTTGTATATCTACTTCAAGAAGCCTAAGTTTACCTGAATTGCCGCTTACATGAAAGGTTTATTAAGTAGTGATTTGTCGAAGTATACATGATGGGGTGTTTCTTAAGGGATAAGGTCATTCACATGCTTTTCGTCAACGACGGGGTAAGAGGAGTGTTGTAAACCCTTGAATGGACACACTGGTTTGTTCTCGATATGGTAGTGCACTTGACAAAAATCGAATTCTTCTCCTGATAATAATTAACACGGAAAATCTCGTTCCTGAAAAATACTACGACTGTCCCCGTACTTTGCTCCCAAGACAAACCAACGGACGTATGCGAAAAACAGCTTTGTTCCGTTCCAAAAAGTGCGTGATAATGAGAAAATTACAAGGTATTTATATGGTGCATAGAAACCTAAAAACGTTCTCAAATCAGAAAATGGGAAGGCAGTTATCTAAAATACTAGCTGAGGTCACTGATCCACCAATGAACATAGTGGAATAAAGGTCGGATAGGCAAAAAAATAACCAAGGTTACCTCTCGACCGTTCTGGACAGTTCCGTTCATTCTGATTGGATTATTAGTTTTTCTCGAGGACGGAGACGGTTTTGGACGGGAAAAAACGGACTCTTTAACAAGGAGTCATTGCTGTAAATTAGTATCAAGTTATTCACCCCTTCTTTAATATCTGCTGGCTAGTCATTTTCAGTAAACATTTTATGACAAGGTATAACATCGCGTGATTCATGAGGTCGTAACGTTCACGGAGACAGACATGTTCTTCATATTGTCGTTTGACAAAGTGTGAGAAGAAAAGGGCTCCGACAATCAGGATTCGCCGCGATTACATGACCGGCTTCATGATTGTTCCAACCACTCGGGTATGCGTATGCTGTGAAATTCGACCACGTATGCAACCGGTTTCGTGTTTCTGACGAATTTCGACATCTGAGCACTTACAACTTAGGCTACTTTACCTCGTGAAACTATAACGCCGTTTGGGATCGTTAGACAGCGTGAGGTTTTGCACAGTTCCAGTAAATTTTC